CCAACGAGATGGAAACCAGTACAGAAGAAAATACGTCCCATAGAATTAAGAGTCTTTGTTGAATTTTAATTTTTGTGTTTGTAAATTATGTACATTTAATTGAATTATTGTTAATTATATATTGGTTTATTGTAAGTGGCTATTGTTCGTCCCGAACAATACTAAGGAAAGGGCAGTGTTACGATAGTGCAAGTCACGTGACGCTGGTAATACGTCATGAGATTCTCGAAGGATCTTGACTTTTCTTGGCAACTCTAGTTATTTCTAGACGCCCTCTTTCTTTGTATATAAGCTCGGCAAATAAAGCGAGATAATTAATTGGCAGATAGATAGATATAGAGACAGATAATTGAGTCAAGTGAGCGGTAGTGACCGTAAGTAAATTGCGTGAATCGTTATGAATTATTGCATGTGTTGAAGTTAAAGTGACTGTGGAAATTAAGTGTATTGCAAAGTTGTATTGAGAAAGAATAAAATAGTTTTATTTAAGAAAGGACTTGTATCGCTGAAGTTCCTCGGGAAGAACTTATACCAGACATTAACAAACGACCAGAGACATAACAACATCAATAAACGTTCAAAGTAGTTTTAAATTTCTTCACATTTATTTTAGAAAATCATTAACTTCGTATCCAAAAATGTCAAAATCCATTTTGTATGTATAGTACAGCCTTAGAATTTCACTTTTAGGTACTTGACGGAAATAAAACATCACCTTATCTCCCGTTGTAGCTCCTCTGTTTTCAACCGCTGGTGTTTCTGTTAAGCCTAACTCATGTTGAAAAACGTAGTGAAAATCTTGCTCAGCTGTTTCTAATTTACCTATAAAATCGTAATGGACGAGGCAGGGTTGGCATCGTTTTGTGTATGGAACCCAGTGACTGTCGTATTTATAGACGGGAGTGTCTAACAAATAACGAACAAATTCTTCGAACGTTGGACGAGCATCACTGTCTAATTGTTCAACGCCTCTATATTTCTTCATTGCTTTGTCCCAGTAATTGTTAAAAAAAAAAGACAGCTTATCTCGTGGTCCTAGGACTTTATTTTCATAAGCTGATACTAATCTGGCGAATGGATGTCGAACGAAGATAATCTTATAAAAATGCTGTCGTTTTTGTCGGGAGTAAAACATCGGGCTTATGCGCGTAATGGCGTCGTTCGCTTCTATATGAAAGGCAGTGACGTTGTCATGGGCAGAATGCGCAGTGGTTTTATTGGTGATTTTGAGAAAATACGTTTTTATAGCAGTGGATGCTACTTTTTGAACGAAGCAATAGTAAATAAGATTGGTTTTGTCCAGTAAGATAGTGCACTGTCGGGTTGAACATGCTCGAGGTTTACCATCGACCTCATTACTAGCAATTGACCAAAATCTGTTTTTCAAGGCAGGTTCTTGCTGACTGCATACCTTCTCGGCTCGACGTAATCTTTCTGCATACCTCTTCTCCAGTACTTGTAGAATGGAATCGTTGAAAGCATTGTCTGGCTTCCAGTGCTGAAAAACAAAACATTCGGTGCTTTATTGTTTTACACACATTTATTCCAAAGATAAGTATCTCACATTAGAATGGTTAGAAAAATCCTAACTAACCAAGTAGTGACAAAAAAATTACAAGTATAGATTGTTTGTTTGTTTTTGGAATTTCGCGCAAAGCTACACGAGGGCTATCTGCGCTAGCCGTCCCTAATTTAGCAGTGTAAGACTAGAGGGAAGGCAGCTAGTAATTACCACCCACCGCCAACTCTTGGGCTACTCTTTTACCAACGAATAGTGGGATTGACCGTCACATTATAACGCCCACACGACTGAAAGGGCGAGCATGTTTGGCGTTATGCGGATTCGAACCCGCGACCCTCAGATTGTGAGTCGAGCGCCTTATCCACCTGGCCATGCTGGGCCCACAAGTATAGAGACATACAAGTTACATTATGCTTGAGGTTATTACAAGTATAGAGACATAAAAATAAGGTTAGGCTTGAGGTTATTACAAGTTTAGAGACATACGAATTAGGTTAGGCTTGAGGTTATTACAAGTATAGAGACATACAAGTAAGGTTAGGCTTGAGGTTATTATAAGTGTTACGGCAGCGGAAGTCACGTAACGCTAGTAACACGTCCTGAGATTCTCGAAGGATCTTGACTTTCCCTGACAACTCTAGTCTTTTCTAGGCACCCTCTATTTTAATATATAAGCCCGGTAAATAAAGCTGAGAGAATTGCAGATAGAGAGATATAGAGATAGATAATCGAGACAAGTCGTAAGAAAAGTGCGTGAATCGTTGTGAATTATAGCGTGTGTTTAAGTTAAAGTGACTGTGGAAATCAAGTGTATTGCAAAGTTGTATTGAGAGAGAATGAACTAATTTTATTTAAGAAAGGACTTGTATCGCTGAAGTTTCTCGGGAAGAAGTTATATCAGAAATTAACAAGGCATTTACAAACTGATCCCTCAGCAACAGCTTGAGGACATCGAGTTATGCAGTTGAGTAGACCTTGTGTGCCATACTTTCCAAATCCTGTGCCAGCTCTTGCAGGCTCTCCCCTTTAGCACAGACTCTTGTCCTAAACCTAGCCCTGTAGACTTCAGACTGATTTTGGGTTCCATACCTGAGTTTTAGAGCCGCTACCAGTACTCTATAGTTGTGGCTGTCGTCTGCTGACAACTGTCGAAGTATTTCCAGTGGTTGTCCCTTCAAGCTCGGTGCCAGATATACTGCTTTCTGCTCCTCTGTCCATCCATCCATCTCTGCCAGTTGCTCAAACTGTGCTCTATATGCTTCCCACGGTGCCTTCCCACCGATTTCCTTAGTACTAGACCACCCTTATTGCTGACATTCATATCTGGGATGTGACTTCTAACAGGACTGAAAATGTCTGAATTAGGGTTTAGTTGCGGGGTCTGGAAGGGGCTTGCCATTGTCTGGGGCTGATTAAGTCGATGGTTAATGTATCCTCCTTATGTAAATGACAATAAATCATCCTTTAATGTATTTAATTCGCTTTGAAATTTACTAAGGTTTTCCATTCGTGTACTCTGGCTTTCTCTCAATTGTTGGAGACTTTCTTCTTGTTTATTTTCTTTCTCCTCCATCCACTGCTGTAGTCTCTCTTCTTGTTTATTTTCTCGTTCTTCTTGTTTCTTTTCTTTTTCCTCCAACAAGTGCTGTAATCTCTCTTGTTTATTTTGCTGTTCGAGCTGCCACTGTTGCAAGTTATCTTGCCACTACTGTAATCTCTCTTCTTGTTTATTTTCTCTTTCTACTTGTTTCTTTTCTTTTTCCTCCAACAACTGCTGTAATCTCTCTTCTTGTTTATTTTGCTGTACGAGCTGCCACTGATGCAGGTTTTCTTGCAACTGCTGTTGTCTCTATTCCTGTTTCTTTTCTTTTTCCTCCAACAACTGCTGTAATCTCTCTTCTTGTTTCTTTTCTCGTTCTTCTTGTTTCTTTTCTAGTTCTTCTTGTTTCTTTTGCTGTTCTTGTATTGCTGCCATCAAATCTGCTAAGCTGTAGTTTGATTTGCCACCTATTGTTTCCATCTTCTTTCTTTTTATTTATTTTTATCCTACTTCTGACACCACAATTTGTTATGTCTCTGGTCGTTTGTTAATTACTCGGAAACATTCTTTCCAAAGAACTTCAGCGATACAAGTTCTTTCTTAAATAAAACTAGTTTATTCTTTCTCAATACAATTTTGCAATACACTTAATTTCCACAATCAGTTTAACTTAAACAAACGCTATAATTCTCAACGAACGATTCATGTGCTTACTTACTACCACGCTTGACTCAATTGTCCGTCTATATTTTCAATCTCTCTGTCTGCTATATCTGTATCAATTGATTGTCGGGCTTATATATTAGAATACAGCATATCTAGCAAACACTCGAGCATTCACGAACCATCGAGATACTCATTACGTGTTACCAGAGTCACGTGACTTCCACTGTCTTACAATATTGGTAGCGCCGTAGGCAAATTATACTAGTTTTGATTTTGCAGTTTTTAACCCAGTCCTACCCTTTGATGTAAATATTTACTCAACTGCTTAAGTAGTATTTTGATATATCCATATTACACATTATATCCATAATTATATTCCTGAAAGAGATGATGATATCAAAATACACCAAATGAGCACAGTTTATAATTGGCAGAATAATTCTTAAGACACTGAAGAGAAAACTCTAAATTATCTGTAACCAAAGTTGTAGCTCAAGAGAATAGGTACAAAACCAGTTCAACCCTTTCTGTCTACAGCACAGCCGCGAAACCAATTCACCCCTTTCTATTTACAGTACAACCATGAAACCAGTTCAACAACTTCCTATCGAGATAAAAATGGAAGATTGGAACTATTTTGTTCCCTCTATGCCTAGCACAAGTAATGAAGTTATATATCAATATAATTTCCAGTTGTGTGTGTGTATATATGTATATATGTATATATATATATATATTGTTACGTCTCCGTTTGTTAATTGATTTCCCGTAAATTCGTTCCGACGAAACTTTAGCGACACAAGTCCTTACTTAATAAAACTGGTTTATTCTTTCCGAATATAACTTTACAATACACTTAATTTCAACAATCGCGCTAAAACAAACGCTATAACAACGAACGTGCTCAACTTCAACAATACTCTCTGACTGCAGATCAATTACTCACTGTCTACACACACATTGTCACGTCACGCCGTGACCATCTTATATATACCAGACCACCCCCACCCCAATCTAGTAAATGCTAGAGCACTCCCGAAGGAACGGGATAGTTCTAGAAAGCAGGTGACGTGATACTAATCACGTGACCTCGCTGACGCAACAATATATATATATATGCATATAAGGAGCGACAGTTCTATAAATCGCTGTCCAAGTTTGACAAAGAGCGGTTGTTTGAAGCGTGGTCCTATAAAATATTTACTAATTTGGTTACATTATTTGTTCCTATATCGAAATTTTCTGAAGAGAAGGGACCAGCACTGGTTCTACAAATAAAATGGTGTATCCTAGTAGGAGAGGTATCTGTCAAAAGATCTCCTACACCAGTGGAGATACACTGTATATCGTACAAAACGTCTATTAGCAGGCCTCACGTGAAACTCAATCAGAGTATAAAATTAGCAAATTTGTTTGATGAAACCCAAATAAAACTACCATTCACCACCTGCACTCCGTATTTACAAAGTGAACTTAATCCTAATAAAACAAAACAGACATGTAATATACCTCTGTTGATTGGATCAAGAATTACTGTAGAAATGATTGGATTGGTTGAGTAATTTGACAGGAAACGTGAAGTATGTCAGATCTATTTAAACCAAAATATGTTTTTTACACTAGGATAACTACCTTGTAGTTTGTACCGTAGTGGTTTTGTTAGTTTGTTAAAACCAATAACTACCGTAGTTTTTACCCTAAAGGGAAGTTTTGTCCAGGTTGAGTTCAATAAGACACATTCACTGCAGTAGAGGGGAGTTTTGTCCAGGTTGAGTTAGTGCACAGATAAGTTTAACAATGCCAAGGATGATAAAAAAAAATGAAAATTAAAGTTTACATGACGATTACATTTTGTTTATGAAACTTCCGTCTGCACATCTGCTCGGAAATATTTAAATTTAGAGTCTCAATGCTCTTCTTTTGCGACCTGAAACATCGTCGTTTAAATCCAGACTTTAAAGGAAGGCTTATCTCACTTGTCACGGTCTGAAAACGACATACTTAAGGGTCATTCACCAATACGAAAGTAAAGATGGTTATCAGTCTAGGACTGGTGTACATAAGGTGTGAAGAACATAGGCCCCAATTTTCATGAGAATAAGACATGATTTCTAATAAAGCTTATGGCTTCTGAAGTACGTTATAATAAGTGGCATAACTTTAACCTGAAAAATTATATTACAGATTTATTTTATTTTCACCAAATGTTAAGTTGAAAATATAATATGTTACGTAGAGGTCACTGTATAATTCCGAATAATACAATTGGCGCAATGCAACGAATTATTCACACACGTAAATTCATGTAGGTTACTATATGGTGAGTTAAAGAACTTAAGAACTCCATAACTATTATTTTTAACCTTAAATGTTCTGAGCTCTTTATTCTCACTCACTAATATATCAAATAATAATTATGTTAAGACATCAGTCCATAGATGAAAGTTGTCCGCTCTAGAACGTTAGCTGGAAAACTCTACTACATTGCCGAGGCTTAGCAGGGTTACGAAGTTACATTCATACAACATGTTATACAGTCAAAGCTGTTTATGATACCCAAGTACAGGTTGCCAAGAAATATATCCTATTACAGATTGTCAAGAAAGATATCCTAGTACAGGCTGTTAAGAAATATATCTTAATATAGGTTGCAAAGAAAGGTATCCTAGTACAGGTTGTCAAGAAAAATAGATATCCTAGTATAGGTTGTCAAGAAATATGTCCTAGTACAAGTTGTCAAGAGAGATATCCCTGCTTAGATTGCAAGAAATATATCCTAAAACAGGTTGCTAAGAAAGATATCTTTGTAAAGATTTTCAAGAAAGATATTCTAGTACACGCTGTTAAGAAAGATAGGCATCCTTGTACAGATTGTCAAGAACTATATCCTACAAGAGGTTCAAACATACTGTTACGCCTCCAGTCATTAGTTAATTTTCCGTATAATTTCTTTCTGAAGAAACTTTAGCGATACAAGTCCTTTCTTAAATAAAACTGGTATATTCTTTCTAAATACAACTTTGCAATACACTTAATTTCCACAGTCACGCTATAACAAACGCTTATAATTCACAACGAACGTCTCACGTGCTTAACAATACGTCTCTCCTGCCGCAGTTCAATTACACATTACATTAATCCAGTCACGTCTTGACTGTCTTATGTATACAAGACTATCGCATATCTAGTAGGCTCTAGTAAATCAACCTCTCTTTTGCAGCAATGTCTCCAGTCATTTTTGCAGGGTCTTCGGCTCAGTCCATCGGCATTACCATGGTATTTTCCTTCTCTATATTCAATATTATAATTATACTGGTCTATTTTTCCGATCCAACGTGCCAATTGTCCCTTTGGGTTCTTTAATGATCTTAACCAGTGTAACACAGCATGGTCTGTCCTGATTGTAAACCTTACATCATAGAGGTAAGAATGGAAATATGTCATATTCTTTACTATAGCAAGGAGTTCCCTCCGTGTTACACAGTAGTTCCTCTCTTGTCCACTCAGGACCCTACTGAAGTAGGCCACCACATGTTAGTTTTCGCCCACTTTCTGAGACAACACTCCTCCAATTCCGACATTACTAGCATCACAATCCAGTATGTATGGCAGTGAGGGATCTGGAAGCTTTAAAAGTGGAGTGGAGGCCAATTTTTCCTTCAATGTCTTGAAAGAATGCTGGCAAGAAACTGTCCATTCAAACTTCTGGCCTTTTTTAGTCAAATCATGTAGTGGAGTACCTATAGTTGCAAAGTCCTTCACAAACTTTCGGTAATAAGTACAGAGTCCTAAGAAACTTCTTAACTCTCCCACATTGTCTGGTGCTGGCCAATCACGCACTGCTTTCACCTTGTCAGGATCAGTTTGCACACCCTGCCCACTTACAATGTGCCCCAAGTAAGGCACCTCTTTCTGGAACAAGTGGCATTTCTTGTGATGGTGTTTGAGGTTTGCTGCTTTCAAACGCTTGAATACTTCCTCTAACCAGGACATTTCCTCATCAAAAGTTATTGCAAATACAATGACATCGTCCAGGTACATCAGGGCTATCCTCCATTGTAGGCCTTCCAATACTCTTTCCATCAGCCTCTTAAATGTTGCTGGAGCATTACTAAGCCCGAATGGCATCAGTCGGTATTGCCAGAGACCTTGGCCATAACTAAATGATCTCTTAGGTCTATCTGCTTCAGCCATTTTACACTTAGTTGTTGGGACTTTCACGATAGGGGTTGGTGGGCGTCCCTCATCACCAACCACTACTGGTTTCCCGAAGCTGACTTATTGGTGGTATTATTCTTACTCTGGCCCCTTATATGTCCTTGCTCTCCACAGTTCCAACAACTTTTCTGGATAGCAGCCTTTCCTGCTGTATCATCTCCCCTGTGTTGAAGTTGCCAGCATTGAGCTCTCTTGTGCCCAGGTTTGTTACAGTGCCAGCAAAGTCCCTCAAACCTCTCTGAAAGCTGACCTTTTCTGGCCTTGAATCCTGATGACTGTACCAACCTT